CGGGTGGGGTAAAACTTCCCAATTGAGTGTTTCCAAGTAGGTTTTGACCGGCGCCGCAACATGTGGACGAGCATTATCATGCAGGAGAATAATTTTGTCGTGTCTGGAGTAGTAATGGGCGCGTTTTTCCTTCAGTGCTCGGCTCAATCTCACCAATTGTGTTCGGTAGAGAGTCCCAGTAATGGTTTCGTTCGGTTTAAGCAACTCATAATACACGACACCAAGCTGATCCCACCAAATACACAACATGAGTTTTTTTCCATGAATATTCGACTTGGCTGTCGATGTTGAAGCATGGCCATGTGGTCCCCAAAATTTCCTCTTCTTTGGGTTATCGTAGTGGATCCATTTTTCATCACCAGTGACTATACGATGCAAAAAACCCTTTCGTTTATGTCTGGCAAGCAGCATTTCACATATGCAAAATCGGCGTTCAACGTTTCTCGGCTTCAATTCATATGGAACCCAATTTTCTTGCTTTTGAATCATTCCCAACGATTTTAAACGATGTGAAATTGCTTGTTGAGTCACTCTTAATGTAAGTGCAAGTTCTTCTTGCGTTTGGCACAAATCTTCCTCCAATAATGCTTCTAATTCCGCGTCTTCGTACACTTTCGGCCTTCCGCTACGTTCTTTGTCTTCGACGTCAAACTCATCGTTCTTAAACTTTTGAAACCACTCACGACAACTTCTCTCACTTAAAGCAGCCTCACCATATGCTTCTACAAGCAATCGATGCGCCTCAGCTGCAGATTTTTTCAAATTAAAGAAGTAAATCAAAAGTTCCCGCAAATGACGCTTATTCGGCTCAAAACTCGACATTTTCGCACGAAAAAAATTATGTTATGCTGATACAAAATCGCTAATATTTCAAGGTTATGGTGTTGTCAGATGTCCAACCTTACGATATGTCGTTTTACATCTGACAATTTCAACCATAACTTACTAGTGGAGCCATCTTTTGTCAAACGGCGGAGACTTATTTGTACTCCCAATACATCGGCAGGTGTTGAGGAAGTATTCTGACAACGAGATCATTTCGGAGCCATATCCAGGAGTAGCTGCCGAAAAGGAATTTCGCAAAATGGTGTTCAATCCGGAAACTTTGACGAGTGCGATGACCGGGGATACCCTAGATTATCAGAGAAGAATATCGTTACACGCCGCTCCTAGTATAGAGGAGTTAAAAGATCGTAAGTGCTACTGCGAATTACATTTCATTTACATTGTCACCAACGCAATGTCTTTTCTGAGAAGCTCTTTCCTTCAGAGAAATATCTAGAGTTGAAATACATACATACATCTGTCTTCTTGAGTATCTAAGCAGATCTGTAAATGGTGTTGCATGATGCAAGGTTTGCACAATTAGAACACACACGTATTTATACACGCGGGTATACTTGCAAGATTCTGATTTAAAAAAAAATGAGCATATTGTAAGTACTCGTACTTATACTCTGAACACGTTTGGTAATGTTCTACATGCTGGAACACAAGAAGCGGCAGGAGACATAGAGATAGATCAACTGAGACAACGATTGGTCGAGACGGAGGCAGCCATGGAAAGAATTGTTGTCCAGATGGGCAACATATCACGTTCAGTAATGCATAACTCGGCCTCACAGCCAGAAATCAAGGTTTATCAAATTAGTTTTTGAAGCAATTCGCAGTTTCAGTTTACTAGTCGTTAGAAATGTGCACGTCGCTGTGTTCTGATTGCGTTACAAGCTTTACCCATCCAATGTACATTAAATATGTTGTACATCTAGTATAAGATCTTATCTACAATATTTCGCTTTTCTCTCAAATTATCGATGCTTGCGGATAATCGTTGCGAAATTAAAAATTGTTGGTTTATTACGATGTACATGAGATTCGTACTCATCCGTTAATCGAGTGCGACATTGAGTACGAATATTTAAATCGGAATATATTATCTCCAGTACTAGAATTCACGTTGTATATTTTACGTTTTGAGTAGTAGATGGGGGTCCAAAGTCCAATGGTCTGGCAGGGGTCGATCGCGGTTCTAAGGTACATGCCCTTGCCTCCGAGAATATTTTCTAACAAGAGTAACCAAGAGTTTGTGGGACACTTGTGTTTCTTTGGTGCACTGGTTTCACAAATAATAAATCTATCACACGTAAATGTTTATTAGATTTACATGTGAAAGTTTCATTGGTACGATTCTGTAGTAACAACATTTAAGTGCTCCAAATGCAAAATGCCACTATCTTTTCATACAAGTGAAGATACACACGACTTGCTGATGCTAAATCTTGTTGAAGTATAAATTAACGTAACAGTAGTTGCTCTCTATAGCTTCTTGATTACAAGTGTTAATTGTATGTCTTGCATGATATTTGCTTACTTTATATCTTTTTGATGTGGCATATTTTAAAAATTAATAATACTATAATATATGGGTTCTACGACATATATATCTTAAATAACGCATTTTTGAAAATAATTGTAGGATATCTTTTAATATAATTTATTCTTTGGATATGTATGTATCCAAATGATATGATTGTATGGTTTTTGTTTATATTAAAAGCATCATTTATATGAAATAATTCCTGTCAAATCAATCAATGAGATGGCTTTGAAGTTACTATATATAATGTGTTATCATATATTCCCAATATAAGAGATATATAAAAGCAGTTGAAAGAAAAGAAAATAATGAGACAGTGTTAAATTATGTATTTAATTTGCAGGAGGACACTGTGGACCAGGAGTCACATAGTAGAGAAGGTGAGGAGTTAGATGCAGTAGAACAATCGCCAACAGTTAAAGTCATGGGTATGGAAATGACAGCCAGTTGTGAAAGTGGGCAAAAATGTAGCAGGCCTACCACTCCCATTATTCTTACACAACCCAGGTATTTATCTCTCTCATTCTTTCTCTCTCTTTGATTGTATTTATTTTATTACCAGCATCTTTAAGGGACTTGTCGAAATGTCGATATATTGTGCTTTCTATTTTAGTAATGTCGAGAGAGAAAAAACGCCACCAAAACCTATATATTTAGAGGGTGCGCTTCCACCACAATGCGAATTACTCGTGACCGATTCAGAAACTCAAGCAGAAAAATCAGAGGACGACGACGATGCTCCCGTTGTTCTCTCAGGCAAAATGACTCTCTCCCTCATCAGCCTCGACCAGATCGCAGCTGTAAGGAAATATTAGAATTACCAACAGAATCAAATGAATCTGCGGAGCCTTGTTTTATTTGGTGATTCTTTCATTCATTTAATTGTTTGCCTAACTTCTGTATAGGTTACTTAATATAGAGATCACAAATCACAGGAACTAAATGCAGTGCAAAGAATGGTTTCTTGGCTATTACATGTATGGGTATGAGTAATATGCTGATTTCATTATTTATCATTTTTATTCCTATTATTCTCTGTGATTTGTTCTAGATATTAATTACTAGTTTATTATGTGCCTTGTATCTCTTATGTTCTACTAATATTTTAATTTTAACATAAAACACACTGGTTTGTTTTAAATTTCGTCAAAAATGTTGTGTCTCGTCTAGAAGGCGACCTGATAGTAACTTGTGATTCTTTACTGTCTTTAATGTTCGTGCGTGATTATATTATATTTGACAAAATTGAGTAAATTTATGTTTTGATTTTATTTTTAATTATTTCATTGACAGATCTATACATTTTTTGTATACATAATACTAATTATATGTTATGCAAATTGCTCTTTGCAAGAAACAACACTACTATATTAATCAAACCTACACTATTAACATACTAACTATTACGACTATACAATTATATATCTAGTTATACAATTACACGTAAATTCTTATAATATTGCCATTTCTGTGGCATTTAATGTTGATGTTAGAACATCATTCAGCGAATATATTTTATCGTAAATCTTTCTATCTCTTGTATATATATTAAATTTTTTTACTTATTCATTATTTATAACAAATTTATTATAAAGAATCCTGTCTAACATGTAGGAATCAGAGGATGAAACTCAAGATATAAAGGAAGCAGAAGGCATGGATGGCAAGAGAAGAGAGAAAATTTTAGACACCCAAGGAGAGATTGAGGATGTAGTGGATATTGAAGAAAAAAAAACAGGAGAACAAACAGAAAAGATCAAAGTAGGAACAGAAGATACTAAGAAAAAACTTAAAGAAATGGAGGATGTGCAAAATAATGTGAACCTTGTGAAGGATTATAAACAACTTGAGATGAAACAAGATAAACAAAGGAAAGAAGTAGAATCAGGAAAAGAAAACGATATAAAAAGTGGAAAAAAAGAGATAGAAATGGAAGAGGAATATGAGGAAGAGGAAGAAGAAGTGGAAGAGGAGGAAGAAGACGAGGAAGAGGAGGAGGAAGAGGAAGAGGAAGAGGAAGAAGAAGGGAAGGAAGAAGAATACGAAGAAGAATATGAAGAAGAAGATGAAGAAGAAGAGGAAGAGGAAGAAGAAGAAATAAATATAGAAGAGGGGAAAAAACATAAAATTGCAACAGAGGTGAAAGAAAAACAAATAAATGTAAAGAAACAAGAAGAAAAGGAGGCAGAACAGGAGGAGATAGAAGAAGAAGAGGAAGAAGAAGATGAGGAAGAGGAGGAGGAAGAAGAAGAGGAAGAGGAGAAGGAAGAAGAAGAAGAGGAAGAGGAGCAACAAGTAGAAGATAAACAAAAAGAAATAGCCAAGGGACGTCAGCAATTCAGTTACAATAAAAATGATGAAAATAGAGTGAAATATATGACAGATTCTGACCAGGGTTTAGAGCAATCAGATGCTGAGAGCACTGAAGATGAGGAAATGGAAGATGATGATATGGATGCTGATGAAGAAGATGAAGATGAGGAGCACAAGGACAACGATGCAGAAGAATCTGAAATACCTTCCAGCGAACGTGTAACTCACAAGAGAAGAGATTAGAGTAATTCTATTTTTTCGGCAGTGGATCAGTGTTTACCAATCTTTAAGAAATTCTATACTATAATGTAAAGGAAAAAATATTATACTATGATTATAGAAAAGCTGGTAGTATACCTGCAACATGGAAATGTATAAACTTGTTATTTAAGCACTGCCAAATACTTAAAATGCTATGTGCATCACATTTTCGTTTTATTACTTGTTATATTCGAAATGTGATAGAATCACAAATTTATTGACTACACTGGGGCCAAAAGAAAGAGAGGCAGTGCTTTATTCATACATTTGTGCCACATTACAATACCAGGACAGCATAGATATACTTGGATATATATATATATATATATATATATATATATATATATATATATATATATAAAATTCTGTTTAGTCAGAAAGCTATTTACGAAATATCTTCTAGGACTTGATAGATAGAGAATAATAGAATCTTTTTCTAATCGTTACGTAGAGTAACGATATAGATAAATATGAAACTTTGTGATTGGCAAGCACTGATACAACATCCATGCGAAAGCCAAAGACCTGGTCTAGTCATTTTTTTATTACGAGTAAGGTTCGTTCGCAAATCTTTTGCTTCGTGTACTAATTATCATTCTTATTTGAACATTTAATTTTTTTTATCAGGTTTTAGCATTTGATTCTCATAGTATTAGTTCTCATATTGAATTTACCGATGTACGCTTCTCGACGTATTTAATGTGGAACATTGAATGTTTTATCATTTCGACATTTCTGAACTTGGTTTGTAAATGTGAACGTAATTTCTGAATGTATAATTTGTGAACATAAAATATATTCGTTTAATAATATATTAGAATTATCAATAAAATATTTATATATCTTATGCGCATAACACTTGACATAGATTAAAAGTATCATTTAAAAATAATTAGAACAAGGACAAGTTTGTGTTTTTTCCTATTTTATGATAAAATGTATCGTTAAACATAAAGTCTGCGATTTTACTATCCTTGATTAACGTGAAACTATGTATAAAAGGAACTTTAACCAAAACGTTTTTTAGTCGTTCATAGAAGGCTAACGAATTGATATACGACGTTCGTTAATATAAAGTTTTTATATAAAAATTTCGAGCCAAAATTACTGAAAAATGAAATTGAAGTTGAAAAAGTCACATTTCATTTAACCCGATCTTCGCAAAAAACGGTAGTATAATTATAGCATATAACAGTTAAAAATTAATACTTTAAGCTGTAAAATGCTTTTTGAACCATCTCGATAGCGTCATTTTTGTTAACACAGAAAGAAGCCTGAGAACGGCCACCAGCTTGATTTTAGGGATCAGAGTTAGGCGCATTTTCGAAACGCCATCTAACAAAGTGCGCATTTACTACGTTCTTTAAGCGTATCTTCGCGATGGTAACGATAAAATGCGTCTGTTTCGTGTCCGTTGATTTCCATACAATGATAGTAAGTTAGAAAAGGACAGACGTCCAATCGTTCTATTCTTGTCTCACCACTGATGAGTGGATGCACCTTTGACTATATAACCAGAGAGAACCTGAGAACGGCCACGCCATACGTTTTGGCCGACACCGATTTTCACGCTGTTCGATGCGTCATCTGCACCCATGTTTTAGGTGGAACTATGTTCCCTACGCCCATTTTCAAACGCTGCCGGTAAAGTGTCGATTTGTTGTGTGTCCATTCTATGCCCATTTTCTGGCGATTCGTGTCCGTGTTAAGCGAATAATTGCGTGATTGAAAACATGGATTGTTCATGTTCTTAACCATGCAATTATATGCTTAGCACGGACACAAATCGCCAGAAAATGGGCATAGAATGGCACGCAACAAATTGACACTTTACCGGCAGCGTCTGAAAATGGGCATAGGGAACGTAGTTCCACTTAAAAAATGGGTGCAGATGGCGCATCGAACAGCGTGAAAATCGGTGTCGGCCAAATCTTTAAACTCGTTATTCGCCAGCAAAATAACGGGTCTCAAATAGAAATATGTACGTTCGAATTCACCATAACTTGTTTCATGTTGTTTTTCTTTCAATCTTCTATTTTTAAAAGGAAAAAGTAAGATCATCTTATATATACAGAATATTTCAGTGTAAATCTTTGACAGTCCTGTGGCAATGTGAAGTTATTTATGATAAATCTTGGTAAAAACAAAATTTACTAACGAATAACCTAACACGTTCATATTTGTAATTATGTAAATCATAACATATTTATTAAATTTATGTGTTTATTTATGTATTTATTAAATTTATGTTTAATCATTACATAATATTCAAGAAGAAATTGGCATTGTGTAAACAGTACAAGTAATAACAGCTTATTTGTATTATTGAACTGAGTTAACCTAAGTACTTATATGTTATAAATTTTTTTTAGGAAGGTTGATAGATGACTATCGCAGGTTTTGTACGTAATATCTTGGTAGGAATCCCAGTTGGGGTTGCTTTCTGTGACATAGTGGGATATGTAGCGAGAGTGGAAGGAATATCTATGCAACCTGTATTGAATCCAGATACGAAGTATCATGATTATGTGTTCTTAAATCGTTGGGCTGCCAGGAACCGAGATATACAACGTGGTGATATAGTGTCTGTTATATCTCCCAAAGTACCAAGTCAGACACTTATCAAGAGAGTTGTAGGACTTTCTGGAGATATTATAGACACACATGGATATAAAATCAATGTTCTTGAAGTATGATATACTATTCTTGAATGATAATATTTAGTCATCAATTATACACTAACATTAATAATGGACTGATACTGACTATACTTGATACATAGATTGTTTGTACTTCTTGTGAATAAATTAAAAACTTTTGATACAGGTACCAGAAGGGCATTGTTGGTTAGAAGGAGATCATATTGGACATTCTTTGGATTCTAACACTTTTGGGCCAATCTCCCTTGGTCTTGTGACAGCAAAAGCGACACATATAGTTTGGCCACCAAGTAGATGGCAGCCATTGCATTCTATAAGATCCAATTATGAGAGCTGTTAGTTTTGTAAAGAAGTTCCAATGGGACTTACCTGGTACTGTATGCAGACATGGATTGACAATAGGAGATGTTGATAATGATGGTGATAATGAATTGGTTGTGGGTACTGCTGAAGGAGAGCTTTATATTTTCAAAGTAAATATGCTATTTGTGTTTTATTTCCAAAAGAAATAATAATATCGCTTGAAATCATATGTTCTAGAGCTATGCTTAATTTTTGGTTTTTACACAATAGGGATCGGAGCTATGGCAAAAGATTACAGGCCTTGGTCTTATAACTAGTGTGGCAGTTGGAGATATCTTTAATTATGGACGTAACGCGCTTGTAGTCATTTGTGGTGATGGATGGACACATATATTTTATAGTCCCAGATCTGTCAATCCCAATAATTCAAACATGTCCATAGGCCAACATGTTGGCAAAGATACATGTGATCAAGATAACTTCAAAACAAGCTCTGGTAAGCTTTGAAATATGAGAAGATATACCTTACAAAAAACAAAAAATCTTTAATATTAATACAGAGTATATATATGTGTGCAGATGTTGGAGCAGGTATTAACACAACGAACTGTCAGAACTCTGAACAGATCGACAATAGTGAAATGAATGAATTGTCCGGGAAAATGGAATGTGTACACGTACAAAGAATCCCGACTAACACGAAGATAGTACTGATAGCTGATGTCGATAAAGATGGTGCAAATGAGATGATTCTTGGTCTAACGGATCGTGTTGTCCGATCTTATAGATGGTCGAGTAATGCTGATTTAGGAACGGGGAAATTAGTTGGCTTGAATAAATGGGAATGCACCAATCAGATAGGAACAGTTACACTGCAAGTATGTTAAATCGATATACGTATAGTGTGCATCATAAATCACAATATATTGACAATAATATAAATGAATATAAAATATATGAAAATACATTAATACGAAAATCTTTGGCTAGCATACCGGTGATGGCACGCCAACTTTATTGGTCGCACAACCAGGTGGTACATTTATGCGAATTAAATGTAATCCTGACGATTGCCATATGGAGAACGGCTCCTGCGAAATGAGCAGCGAGGTAGCAGCCAGCTGCGTGGATTATCAGACATTAGGGATATCTAGAATGCGCAATCAAAATATCTCAACGGAGATCATTGGCGATTTAGAGCCGGGATCTGTGCCATTTATTTCGACTTTCGAGCCTAAAATGTCTAGTTACGAGCCTAAAGATAACCTCCCGAAGCAGGGTTTTGTGGATGACAGTCAGTTAGGTATGAAAACTTTTAAATCTGTATCGCGACATGAGTTTCGAAGAAATTATTCGCAACCCGAGATTAGAAAAAACAGTTCAAATACGGCGAGTGAATTTAGTAGGGAATTTAGAGCAGATAGTCAGGGAACGATTAGGTTTTATAGCACTGCTGATTCATCCAGTGTTGATGAAATAGATGGCAATTCTATTGGTGGAAAAGTTATTCTAGGAGACTTTGATAGCAAAACTACCAAAGATTCATTGTTACCGACCTTTAAGGAATTCTCTCGGAATAATATTAGTAGAAGCGTTAATAATAACGATGGTAGCGATACCGCTGATGTGAAACAATGCGAGAAGAAAGATGACGATGCGAACGACACAATGGCTGATGGAGGCGCTCCGAGGGGAAAACCGTACGCGTTAGCAACGCTCGACGGAACCATCATGTTAGTGCAGGATGAAGTCATTTTGTGGTGAGTGATTGCACTACGTAGCAATATTTAGATCCTAATTTTAGTCTTGGTAAAAAATTCGACTCGACTTTTAAGATTACTATCTTTTGATTGACGCAAAATATATAGTTCAATATATAGATATGTATAATTTGAGAAACTCGTGAATATCAAATTTTCCTTCTTTTGCAGGGCAATGCAAGTGGATCACCAGATATTTGCTCTGTGTCGATTGGATGTCACAGGTAACAATGCGGATGAGATAATCGCCTGCGCTTGGGATGGTCAGACTTACATTCTGGACCAGCAACGACACAGCGTGCGCTTTCAGTTCGAAGAACCGGTTAGAGCTTTCTGCACGGGGAATTACAACGTGAATCCGGGAACATCCAGCCCCTGCCTAGTATACAATACCTTCAACAACAAGGTGCTTACATGCATTCTACACGTACGAATCGATTAAATGACAGCGATAATTGCAGTATTATTTATTCTTCTAGATTTTTCTCTACTATGATGTTACCCTGCCAAGTATGACGGTCAGTCCTTTGAATCCTACGGAGGATCTCGAGTCTGATCAAATACAGCTCCTCGACAAATTGTTAGGCGAGTGTAGTGTTGGCGAGAGACAACAGAAAATGCAACAATTAACTGAGTGGTTATTATATGGCGGCTGTTAGTGTATAGAAGACAAATGTTACATATATTGTAGAAAATTACACTTATAACGTCTTTATGGAATTAACCTTTAAACTGTAACGTTAAAAAAAATCACACGAATGGTAATGATCGGTCTCACAGACCGCTATTACATTTCCTCTAATTTTTGAAGTTCTTTATAATGAAAGATGTATGTTTTCAATTATTCTGAATAGGTAGGTGGGAAGAAATGTTTTAATATGAGGGTGATAAAAAATCTCATATATAAATGACAAAATATATTTAAATTGTGATAAGCGTGTTTTATAAACTGTGAATTTAAATTTGAAACTAAACAATATTTTCTTTTAATAATGATTAGCAAACAAAATTAAACGAACAAAAACGAAAAATAGTATAAAACTATATTTTTTAAAAACTGTCTGAACTTTCAGATCTGTTTGTTGGCGTACCAGTTAAGCAGTATACGCACATTTTCCGCGAGCATTGTAAACAAATCGGTGTCTCACACTTTGCATATTTGTACAGTTTTTCGTTTGAATTTGTTTTATAATGTGCAAGTTTTTCTTTTTTCGAGAACGTCGGTTGGCACATTATGTGCCTGTGGCTTACTTACTGGCTTTAAAATATCTTTTACATTCAAATATATCTATAAAAATCACATTCATCTACATATTTTTTTTACATATTTATTTACATATTTTACCTCCTAATAGTAGCTATAATACTGATATACTATTATATTTTAAGGGTAGAGAAATTTTTATAGTATAGCATTTTACTGCGAAAAAAGTAACGTAAATGGTAAACACCGGTCTGTGAGACCACTATAATTTTTTAACCGTCTCGTATTATACGTTTCTAGTGAATGAAAACGGGACCACCGCAGGGTTTGGTGAAAGCACATGAGATACGAAGGTAGTATAAGTTAAGACTGCCTTTTGCAGATGTCAAGGAAGTTATTGATAAGTAAAATTTTAATAGCAGTCTGTGAGATCGACATTACAGTTTAAAGGTTAAATATAAGTATTCCAATGTGTGTGCGTATATCGTAGAAGAGCATATGAGAAGTCACTGTTTTTTAAATCTTTATTATATCGAATGTTATTATATCTATTGTTATTATATCTATTGTTATATCGAATCTGATCAACAAAGAGTACTTATCTAGACGCTCATTTAGCACATCGCGAATCAATATTATCTCCACTGAGAAAACATTTGATTGTGAATGAAGTAATCGCGCGATTTCTCATCGGCTTCTTCGTTTCTCACTTCGGCAGGACGTTTTCCTAGGCAGCGTCCTAGGTAACGCGGTGCCTCGTCATCGTCGCGTTATCGCGAAGGATATACGATCGGCGAAAGTTCGCGCAAATTTTTGGCAAACAAGCAACCGGCGATGTAAATTATGAAATTAAATTTAGCTTGAAGTGCAACATCGAAGGCGCCCATTTAAGGAGTTTTCGTCTATTTGCGGAAACTTTGCGTATCGCATCGCTTTATCTGCACGCCGTAAATCAGACTGACACCATGCTGAATATCGGCCGAACATATAGCATGGAACGTCATTGTCAGTGGGTATGCAAATTTCGTCAGGTACTTTTCCAAATTCCTACGAGGTTACTTCGTCAGGTGTATGCATGATTAGATCGTGGGTGCGTAAGCGACACTCTTTCGAGATCTCGTCGCCGTCGGTACGGCGCGCCACTCCAGACGGTTGTTCCGATGCAGATGCCAGACCAGCGTGTCGAACGCACAGACAGGAAATAATTGAGACACGTAAGTGCGACGATCAGTCAAATCCGCGAGATTTCTCCCGATCACGCGCGTTCATCGTCTCTGAATTAATCGTCCCGTTGATGCGATCGTGTTCGCGCGCGAGGTCGACTCTGAAGAACGCCGTGGTGCTTGATTTTTGGGAACGTGCAGTTCATCGACGGGAAACCCTCGAGCCGAGACGAGTCCAGAATGACGATTAACGGCACCGAGTCATTTTTCGCGGGCTATGAGCTGAAGGAGCTGACCTTCGGATGGACCGATTACACTCTTTTTGGCGGTCTGCTGGGCGTCAGCATGCTCATTGGCGTCTACTTCGGCTTCTTCAGCACGAAGCAGGATAATACCACCGAGTATCTGCTCGGCGGCAAGACCATGTCCTTCGTGCCGATCAGCATGAGCTTGATAGCAAGGTGATAATACCACGCATCTCGTGCTTCTAGCTGTCTTTATAATGATACCGCAATATTTATTGTTCAAAATTAGCGCGGTGTTTTCTTAATTAACTCATGAGGAAACAATGTAAGACGATTAAACCGAATGTTTCATGTTAACCTTCGGTATATCATTGTAGTATTAATTAAATTAAAGATGATTAATTTGATTAAGTGATTAAAGATGATCAATATACATTTTATTTGAAAAAAATAAATAAATTTCCTCTTTGCTTTTTGGAAAACTTTTACATGGAGAGAGTATTACAGATTATTTTTTTTTAATTCTTTTCAATTTCATTATGTTTCTAATAGTGCAGAAATAGACTGTCAGTAGAATCTATTTTGCTAACATGGTAAATCTCACTAAAAGCATAGCAAAATGTTTAATAGCATATACGAAATCAAAGGATAATTAACTACTGCAGAATATCGATTTATTCTTCACGCAGGGAAAAACAGCAATTGTAGCTATATAGATGACAACTATAAGAGTTTTCGTTTAAAATTATAATATATATAATTTAATGAACTATTTTGGCTAAAATTGGATCTAACGGATCTATAATACATTGGTACGATGTACCGAGAATTGAATGAGAAAGACTCATTTATGACGTGGTCAAAATTCGTTTCAGTCACATATCGGGAGTGTCATTACTCGGCGTGCCCTCCGAAGTGTATCAGTACGGGACGCAGTACGCGGCGTGTATTTTCACGTCTTTCATAACGTGCTTCTTAATTGTATGGGTGTACTTGCCGGTGTTCCACAAGCTGCAACTCACCAGCACTTTCGAGTACTTGGAGATGCGGTTTGCTAGGCCGGTGCGGCAATTTGCGTCGTTCCTCTACACCCTTTCGCTGGTCGTCTACGTGCCGTTGATCATCTACGTGCCGGCGTTAGCATTCTCGCAGGCGACCGGTATGAATCTGCACTTCGTCGCGCCGGTGATATGCATGGTGTGCATCTTTTACACGACAATAGTAAGTGAAACGTTCGATTATCTTGATATTCTTTTTGGAAACTCGCAATTGAGCGACAAAAGTCTGCGACGATTTTATAAATGCAGCAGCATTGTCGTTTACTCGATCGCATTATCCTGAATTGGAAATTTGATCCTAATTTCGACCTCAATATTCCATTTAACGCCTACTTTGATGCTCTGAAGTCTACTTTGATACTATCAAACTTTTTTGATTCTATTTAATACTAACTGTATCGAAAGATTCTCTTTGGAACCTATAATTGGCATTTTGTGTGTTTGTGAGTTACTATATAGGACTTCAGTTTCCATGTATATCAAACATATGCTGATCTTTCAGAATATACAGATGTTAGAAAATTCAGATCGAAAAGCAGGACTAACATTTCGAGATGTTAGAATGTAAAATCGATCATCTGTTAACATTAGCACGTGCTGCATATTGAAAGTAAGATTTATCGATGTCGTAGAGATCACGTGTAGATTAATTTTCAAGGCCGCGGGACTACCGAAATAGAGTATCCGCGTCATTTAGCGTGAAGTATGACATTATCAGATATCGCGATTTGTTTAAACAAAATATAGTCCGCGGCAGAAACGCCACAACGTTTTTATTATTTTGTTTTTCTTGCAATAAATGAAATATAAACGTGAAGACTCCTCTCTTTTTTTCTCTCTTTCTCTCTATTATTTAATTTTCACCTGTTCTGAAAATCATCGAAACGAAAAGGGTTACGACCTTCTTGCTACTGATTCACCATTGATAGCGGAGAATTTATAGTCTGTATTTTAAATTTTGACGAATTTTGGGTCGCGAGGTTTGATTTCACGATCCCGAAAACATCGCGATTTTTTTGCGATCGAGTATACATGGACAGCTATCGTGACGGCTATTGGATGAACGACTGTTTAGACTGGAATTATTTTGTGGACGTGACTGCGGCTTTATCAATTTCGCATCTCGCCGGATTATTTACGATATGCGGCACCGGTACGTGCACCGGCACTGACACCACAATAAACGACTGTCGCGTCACTCTAACAATAAGAAGGCACACAAAAAATGATGAGACTCGCCGTTATTTGCTCAAGACTTATGTTTGTTTGGGTAGTAGTACGCTGGGCAGAGTAACTTACTGTGTTAAATGAGTGTAGGTATGCGACATGCTTTCATTTCATCGCGGTGAAGATAACTTTCTGATATCTCCATCTGATATCAGAAAGATTGATGGGAAAGGATTCTTAACAGCTCAATTTGCAATAATGTACGGAAAAAAATAATATGGTTGACTTGCAAATAAATGTAGTTGTATTAAACAGATTCAATAGTAAAATATGGAACAATTATGTGGTTGCTGTAACCAGAGAGCATGAACTGATGAGTTACTGGCGTTGCAGCAGTGAAGATATACTGAAAAAAGAACATGAAAATTTTGGGAGATATAAAATTTATTTCTGTGAATAAATTCTTTATATCTCAAAAATAAGTTTTCAGATACTTTTTCTCGGTGTATCTGATTGTTCCAACCAGAGTGTATCCATGGTAAATGTTACTCCAATCAATTTCTGGTTACTACAACCAAATCACGCGCAACTACATTGATGTACTAAAATAACATGGTCATATCACAACCATACACATTACCATCAAACAAAGATGACTAAGATATTGCTCACAGCTAAATATTTCTGGTTATGTGCACCATATTATTTTTTTTGTCGCATTAATGTCGGCGATGATTTTTCAGAAACTACACATGTAAGCCGGCGCGCGGATAAGTATTTGGAGATTCACGATGCGCAAAAGTCACGGTTGGCTGATATCCGTGCGGCAAAATTAATATGTAATGATTAAACAGATATAATTAATAAGAAGATGATAGACAATAAAATTAATATATAATGCTGACAGATCATAAACAGATGATAGATAGTGGTGATAATGCCGACAGATAATAGATTTAGGATACATAATGAATTTTGTATATCGTAGCGGTAACCCCGTCGCAGTGTCTCGACACAATCGCGCGTGTATCTTCCTTTCTCTCGCCCCTTAGGTTTACGTTTCACCGAGTCCGATCGTACTGTGCCGTTTGATTCAGTGCACGTCGCGCTGTGAGTGACACTGATACCTTCATTGTGCGCGAATAATCTCTCTTTGAAAACTCATAGGGAGGCCTGAAGGCTGTCGTATGGGCGGACACAGTTCAGATGTCGGTGACTGTCGGAAGTCTCGTTGCCGTTTTGATCCTGGGGACCATCGCCGTGGGCGGCGTCAGCGAGACGTGGAGAATCGCCCAGGAGGGTGGAAGAATCGTGTTCTGGAAGTAAGCGTAGTTGCATTTCTTACGTCACTATCTCTATAAGCTAAAGATTCACTCGCTCGCTCGTTGCGTTAAGAAAAGCGCGCGAGACAGAGAGAGAGAGAGAGAGAGTAGGGTGAATCATGTAATTATTAACATCTTCCTTAGTCATTGGCATTCTAGAAAAGTATGGCTTTTCTTGCGATCAGCGACGTTAGTTCACAGTTTTTTAGTTATGAAGGTTTCTTTTTAAATCATAGAGTGCCCGTGAAAAGTTTAACTACAATGCTGCTCTCTTAAAGTGAATTAGTGAGTAGTCACTGATATCAGTTATAAGTATAGCACTAAGCACTTTCAGTGACATACTTATAACTGCAAATCAGTCTATATTCACTGTTTTCAGTGATGTTTGACTGATTCATTTTAAGAGAGTGGTTGCAGGAAAAACCAAGCTTCTTTAGACAGTGCCAATGACTGCATTGAGAAACAAATTATTTGTTTAACTTGTAATCACACAGAGAAATAATTACTATAAATTAACAAAATAATTTCCGGGAGAAAATTTAAGTTTCTGGTCTCTAGTCAGTTACACGAAATGAGATTTCTTTTTCATGTGGCTACAGCATGGATCCGAGTCCCTTCGTTAGAAATTCGTTTTGGGGCATGTCAGTGGGAATGGTGATGACGTGGTTAGCTGGGTTGGGTATCAGTCAGGTCTCCATGCAAAGGTTCTTGGCGGTACCGAACATCAAAGAAGCCAAAAAGTACGTGCGCATTATTTACTTGAACAAACCTTAGAACCGTTTTCTACACGCGCAATCTTTGCCTTCGCAGGTCGGTATGGTTCCTGGCTGTGGGTCAGGTGGTCGTAAAACTAATCTCCGTCTTCACCGGCCTTACAATGTACGCTAGGTATTATAAGTGCGATCCTATAACCACGCACGTAAGTCGTCTTTTCAATAGCCATGTATATGTGCAGTAATATTTATTTATGGTACTTTTTTGTTCCTTTTTCTCTTTTTTGCTCGCCTTCCCATTTCTAGCTCTCTAAATTTTTTAGAGTGGAATCTTACTCAAGATGAGTGAAAAGTGGAAGCATTTTTAGTTGAAACAACAGTGAAAATATTCGAAATTACATGAGTGAATATTTCAGTCGATTAGAGTGAAAATGTTCCTGTGATGATGGAGTATATCAAAATTTACTCTTTAATTTTGGACAAAAATATTCACTTCAGACGATTCAGAGTAGAAAATTCGCTCTATATACTGAGAAAAAATATTTAATATTTGTAATTATAATCGCATAACATGTGTGTAGAAGATTTATAGATTTAAGAGAATTTTTATAGCAAACGTTATTATAGTGTTAGTAGTCAAATACTACAATAATCTTATTGACGTTGCTACTACTATTTTTTGTTAGATCAACAAAAATATATAGTTGACGTAAAAAATGACTATAATTTTAATAACATTAACTAATTTTTTCTATTAGTTATTTTCTATTATTAGTTATTTTTCTATTATTTTCTATGAGTGAGAAATTACTTGATTACATTTAAGTGGCTCGGTGATCATTTACTTTTCGAGTGAAACTTCAGTCCAAGAAATTTAGAGAATAGAATATAATAAATGTCTTGTCCAACTATAGACATTCGTTCTCTTTCTTGTTCCCAATATTTTTCTTCCCGTGTGTGTCCAAAAGATCACTGTGTGTGAGACAGAATAGAACATCTATTTCCTTTTCTCGCACCTTCTCCTTTCTCTCCCTATTCTTACTTTAACGATCCTGGTATTGGAGAAACAGCGAATCACAAGCGTAATTAAAATGAGATTAACAAGTCGGGCAATTGAGGATTAAATGAATCTCGAGCGTCTCGCGGGGGCGGGAGTGTGGTGTTGAAAGGGGTGGCGAGGACTCTGGTAAAGGAATTAACTTGTTTTCAGGTTGTAGCAAGAAGCGACAAGATATTGCCATATTACGTGCTGGACGTAGCCGCGAACGTCCCAGGACTTCCTGGCCTCTTTCTCGCCGGCCTGGTGAGCGCCGGTCTCTCGACGATGAGCGCCGGACTGAACACAGTCACTGGCACGATTTACGAGGATTTCATCAATCCCTGGATGCCAGAGAGCAACGACAAAGAGACTAAAGCCGCCAACATTATGAAGGTACAAAGACACCCACACGCGGAATATATTACGGTCCGAAACCGCGGAGGAAACAAAGGGGTTTCTCTTTCACTAGTCCTGTCCGCCCGCTGCTCCGTTTTCCGTGGCACGATATCGTTAAGATTTGCCGAACGGATTGAAATGTAGAAATTGAAGGTAAAAATTGAAGAATTGAACACGTATACATACAAGAAGAAAAGAACATTTGATTTGTATAATTTATTTTCTGTTATTTGGATACTATATGCGCTGCAAAGTGTGTTATTTTAGATGAATCTCTTTTTACACGTCTCTTACCGTTTTAAGTCACATCATTTGACATGTTTAAATGTATTAAATTTATAACATTATTTATAACATTATTTATATATTATAACATGTCTCTTAAATGTGTTAAATGACGCGATTTAAAACTACAAGAAATGTGTCAAAAGAGCTTTAATCAAATTACACTTATGTATTTAAAAATAACGTATTTGGATTTATAGTACGAATTGTTGTACTATAAATTGTAGTACGATTTATTGTATAGGAAGATTCCTGTAGGAAGAGAATTCAATTAATTGTGTTCAGTCGATTGCTTTCAGCTTTTGGTTACTTCAAAACGCGGTTGCATCTCTTGCGCGGTCACCTATAACGTGCTATAAGCTAAAGATTTGGTTGTTCGTTGCATTACGAAGAACGCGAGAGTAATCGAGGATGATGAAAGCAACGATGAATTTATGTTACACGGAAAAGACAATTCTATCAGCGTAACTGGATAACACTGGATTTTCCGTTGCCTGAGGACCAGGCAAAAACACGATTGTAGAAACAGGAAGATTTTTGTCAAAAGTCTTATTCAGCCTATTATCTTCACTTATCTCAAACAAGTTTTAAACAGATCTAGAGTTTAAGGAATATTATCGGTCATGATAACAAAGATAACGTTTCTCGTCTGGAGAAACTGAGTTTTCGTCTGGATCTTATCCAATTATACTAACTGGTGTTTGTTTTCCGTATATGTTTTTTTCTGCAAAAACATCATTGCACTGTAAATCCAAATGTGTTATTTTGATTGAATCCTTTACACGTTTTAAGTCATGTCATTTAACACGTTGAAATGTATTAAGTTATAATTTACACATGTCAAATGTGCCAAATTACGGGAGTTTAAAGTCGCAAGTGTTAAAAAGGCTTTAGTGGAATTACACGCTTATGTGTTTAAAAATAACACACTTGAATTTGCAATGTACACTTTTCGTAAATACGCGGTTTGGAGAGATGCACGCGTGTTCTAAATCATATTCGCGAATCGTATTCTCTTAAAGTGAATCAGTAAAAATGTTTCTGATTGAATTAGTCAGAGGATAATTTTACTGATAATTATTTCATCGATATTCATTGATTTTTCTCTAATTATTTCATCGATATTTTCAGTGAAAATATTACCATTTTCTTTCTTCATCTTATATTTCACTGATTTCGATTCGTGGAAGTAAGATTTTACAAAATTTGTTATAGACTATGTCAAATCCGACTTTCTGCATTGTGGCGGAATTAACGATTTTCATGAAATTTTACGCGCAATGATATTGTCTATATTTGCATCAAAACTGATAAAACCTGACTTATAATGTGCTCTTTGCTTTCTGTTTATATTTGTCTATATTTTTCTTGTTGAAGGCTTAAGGTTTAAGCCAGAAAAAATAAAGAGAAAGAAACAACAAGCAAAGAATATATTATTAATCATGTTTAACAGTCGCTATTAGCTGATTCTTTCAATGAGATGTTACTGATTGCAGTGTTGTACTTACAACCAGTTATAAGTATAGTATCTCAATGAAGGAATATGCTAATTGTACCTTAGAGAATACGAATATACGCGTATCGAACAGTGTGTTGCACATTCCAAAACGGCTTGTGTCGTCCTCAGGTCACAGTGGTTATCTTAGGCTTCTTGTGCGTCGGCATGGTGTTCCTCGTGGATCGTCTCGGTGATATCTTCAGCTTGTCCCTGACCGTAACTGGCATCACCGCCGGCACTATGCTGGGTCTATTCTCATTGGGGATACTGGTGCCTTGGGCGACGGCCAAAGGCGCGATGATAGGTGCCCTGATCTCGATGGTGACGATGATGTGGATCATCGTCGGCGCGCAATGGCACATGGTTAATCATCATTTCTCTTATCCCTCGCTCCCCACCTCGACCGAGGGTTGCCTGCGAACGTCAACGGGTTTGCTCAATCAGACGGCGACGATTACCACTACCACGCAGAATCCGGTGCAGATTGAGTCCGCGGATGAGCCCTTCTTCATATACAGGATATCCTTCATGTACTACACGATGTTGGGGGCTTTGATTGTGATGGTGATCGGCACGATAGTCAGCTTTATCTGCGGCGCGCCTGATTTGGGCGACCTCGATCGAGATCATTTCCCACCATTTATCACCAGGTATTGGTCGATTCGTCGTGGCTTTATTCGAAATGTGTCAGGATACTTCCTTTTAACTTTTCACTCGAGACTTTAAGGAATACTAAAAAAAAAAATTATAATCTTATCTCATATCTTATCTGATCTTGCAGTTCTAGCGAAAATGATCTACGAATAATGGGTGTCTGACGCAAAATGTATATCCCGTGTATACATGTAAATTAGGAAAGATCAAACTGAACATATAATTCTTCTACCATTTTTAAAAACAACCACGTAGAATTTTGAGTTATTAATCGAAGAAGATTGGCGAATGATATAACAAATTAGCTAAGATGCATAAACCAGTAAATACTGCGACATCGCAAGTATTTTGTATTTAATCAATGTAAATGACAGAGACAGAATATCATATTTGAACTATATTTGCAAAATTTAGTAGGAAAGTCTCTCTCTATGAGGCTTATTCAAATTAAGACCAGATTAATAATTAGTAACGGGATTTAAATTTGCCTGCAGATATCACTAGAATGCTGTTTCTGTACATTCTACATACAACAAGCAATTTTCTGACAGATACAAAACTCAGGGATAAATTTTAACTATGACATTTGGAATTCTATCTCTACCACAGCAAAACATTTTTTAAATGAATTTCTTCATGTTTTAAAAGATCTCAAGTTTCATTCGCGTGAAACCTAAACTCGATGTCTGCTTTGATGTTACTTCGAGTTTTAATATAGTCCTGAACATTCAAATTTGATCATTCGGCTCGAGTACCTTCGTCTACAACTCGCGTATCTCCTATAAATGTCATTATCATTTGCAGATTCATGCCAACGAAAAAATATATGGAAGTGTCGTTGCATGCGGTGCCGACCGCGCTGGTAACCAATTCCGAGAAGGAGGAGTTGAAGTCTTAGAATAAGAATATCATCGTATATATCTTCTCGTCCGCGACGTTACGAGAATGTCATTACGGCGGAAGGGTGCGACGCGTACTCGACCTAGTTTGTCAAATCGCTCGATTGCGAGTCCAATGATCTCTGTGACGATATTATATATTCTGTAATCGAGAGCACATTAGCTTAAATATTCTATTGTACAGCATTCGAAGCGAATTCATACGCGAAGACTGGTCTCATCTCGCGGGCTGGTCCGACACCTCGGACATGTCGTTATCGATACAAAGGCGCTCGTAGATTCCTGTAAACCGCCCGAGAAGGGAAGCAACGATCAATAAATCCCCAAACAGTCCACTCAAACAATCGACAAACCTCCCACAAACTATCGGGATCTACGGCGATCGATGGGCCAGCGGACGCGAGTAGAGCTGCCGAGAGAGTAGAGTAGCGGGTATAGTAGAGAGAGAAAGAGAGAGGAAGATATAACTGCATCTAACTGGCTCGTTCGGAGTTGAAAGCACCCATTAGGACGTCGATGAGGGTGTCAAATTGACTAGATTATATATCTCGCCCCACGCATCTCAATACAAACAAGTCCCTCTCGCCCTTACCCCCTTCCCCGGGCCCGAACATCTGGAGGAACGATGCCTATCGGATTAAGGCCGAATGTAAATGCCGCGGGAGTTTTTTGTCGAGTCATTCGTCGAGTCTCTCTTGAAAATCCGCGACGGGTCGTGCCGGAGTCGCGTCATCGCGGCCGACTCGTGACAAATTTCGAGAGCCGCCTCGTCGGCTGGGTCGGTTTCTCGTGGTCGAGCGAAGGGGCCCGATGATCGACCGAGCGAGGCTACCTTTTCTCGACGACGAGCTGGAACCTCTTATCAGCATATGAGATGCGACCGTCGAGTCTTTGGATCGAGGGAAATCCCGGGCCATCCGCGGAGACATTTCACATCCGGCGGAGAAACGGAGCTTCTTCTTCGGGTTCTGCTGCCCCGAGAAGCGGCGACTACATTCCATCGCTGACCGTTTTATTTTATTGGACTGAAAGGTGTCAAATATAGGTGGCAAGAGAAAGAGAGAGAGTCTCCTCGTCTACTGACATACCGATGCGCGACCTCGAGGGAACCCTCCGCCCTCTCCCTCCCGCTGTTTCTCTCTTTTCCCCCCCGTTCCCTCCTCACCTTTCTGTCCGGTCTGATTTCAACGTGTGGATAAAATCCCGAAGTGAGGGCTCGGCTTGCATTGTGACCGGCTGACAGATTTCTGACAGATTCTGTCTGATTTGGTGTCGAGTGACAGACCTGAGAGGCCCGATCGCGCAGCGTCTCCTCCTCGTGGTTGACGTTGCACCGTCTCTTTTTACAACGGGGCGTCCCTCAAAAGCGTCGTTTGATGCCGTGCGCTTCGCCACCCCTCTCTAGTGATTCTTTTCATACCAATTATTACATACTTAAAATCAGGCTAACGGTTAAAACCGGAGTAAGGAATTCATGTTTACGACAGCACACTGAGAGAGAGAAAAAATGATTGATCTAACCACAATTATAGTTATTTTTTGCTCCAACCGTATTTTTTAATTCTAACTATTTTTTGTTCTAACACGAAACTGGTAGAGGTAATACGCATACAAGATTATTATCGCTAATCTTACAGCAGAATTTATATGAAAAGTAGTTTTCTCGGCCATAATTGACAGTAATTATTTCTCTATGTAATCATACCTCCAGATACTAAACATTTTTTTTCAGTGCAAAGGAGATGATATTTCAAATTCCCAGCAAACACCAAGTAACAGTTGTATAACTAACAATTATATAATTGTTACTTGGTGTTTGTTGGATGGACAATACTTGAGATCCCAAAGACGCGTAAATTTTTAAATACAGAGTTTGACACGTTGATAATATTATTAGGATAATAAAGAGAAGAGAGTAATTTACGCGCGCGCCTGACGAATATGCGTAGATCAAAGACAAAATTTAAGCTTCGACTCGCAGTTACCGAACGGTTCCTATCAAGTTCTCCCGCTGCTGCTGCTGCTGCTGCTGCTGAACGACTGTATACTGTGCGAAAGCGCATAAAAGGCCGGCGGATCGACGCAGTGTGGGATACGGCTTATTCGGCGACAATGCCTGGGGCTAGGCGCGAGCATAAAGGCGCATAATGCACCCTACTAACGTGAAAATTATTCTGTCAAACATTCGGGCGTCGGATTACGGCGGCGGCGACGGCGGCGGCGACCTCGTGTCCTTCTGTGACACGCTTTTTCAGGAAAGGCACCAATTGGCCACCTTCGACAGATGCCGAAAGGATTTCTCGGTCAACGAGATGCGAATCCGCGCGAGAGCATTATTATTAGACGACGCGCTAGAATGTCGCGCGCCGCCTCGGCGTTTGCATTTCAAACAGTCGACTCATGTAAACGACTCGGGAAAACGCTCGTATACATGTAGGTCAAACTGAACAAAAAAGTCCACTACCATTTTGCAAAAAAATATAGTTAGATTTTTTAGCTCTTTAATTAGAAAAAGATTGGTCATTTATCATTCGCCAATCTTCTCTCAATAACTCGAGAGTCTATATAGTTTTTTGGAAAATGGAAGAGGACTGTTTTGTTCAGTTTATTTATGTTGTTGACTTTATGCACAAAATGCCCCTTAAATCGCATTTATCATCACTCATCTTGCATCGCGTTGCGTGCGACCAATTTTCTTGAATTAATGACTCAAAATTTTGTTAGTGATTATTTACGAGTGTTTTCCCATCTATACAACAGATACTCTGCATATGAAGTTGGAAAATTTTTATTTTCCTTGACAAACCACGAGTCACAAAATAATTTTTATTATATAGAATTCAAAGATGCTTTTATTTTCTATGGGCGGAATAAACAGTTTTATATCTTTTATTTTATATGAATAATTGAACGTGTGTATCGGGTCAACGTGTTAGAGAAAATCACCAGACTCGGGAAATGAACTTCAGACACTCGTGTCATATCGTCCCGGTCATTGTAACCGTCTTATACCGCTATAAAAATTATCGCGCAACGAAACGTACAATGGATTCTCCGACAGACGAGACGAGATGGAACACAAAGTTACAAAACAACCCCTCCTTTGCGGACGCGCGCGAATATTGTGACATTTCTTCTTCGAGTGACATTCAATTTTCGGGCTGGTAGCAGGCGTCGTGTCTCCCTCAACCGCACGCACTGTACGCACCGTAGAATGGAGAATACGATACATCCGTGCACCCCAGCCTACCTACCCCGCCCGCCTTTCACAACGCCGCTGCATCTCACTAGATGCAGCCGGGATGCTCTCATGGCAAATACAAACAAACAACAATCGACCCCCGTTTCTGCCTACAGGAGAGAGGGAGAGAAGGGGAGGGGGGAGAGAGAGAGAGTGGGGAAGAGAGGGATCGACGGACAGCTAAGAGGAATATCGTGACGCAGGGATAGTTCACCGCAACCTTTGAACCTTTGAGTTTGAGTTTACGTTGAAAAGCGAATCTTTTGTGAGTCTCGAGATTCACCACGAAATCCAATCGTTCCACTTTCCTCGAATGCAAAATGTAACGCATTCATTAGGATGAATTAATGTAACAATCGCGAAATATGAAATTTAACTTTGATTATGCGAGTTATTCGCAATCGAAATATCGTATGTATTTCTTGTAGCAATCGTTTAATTGCAGAGAGAAAGAGAGGGAGAGAGAGAGAGAGAGAGAGAAAAATTTTAAAAACGACAATAACATCACGCGTTTGCATTAGTTTCCGAATTTTTGTTTGCGAAGGAAACTATAACAATTGCAATATTTTTTTCTTAACGTTAGTACATTTCTCGTTTCTTCTTACAGTAGCTTCTCGAATGGAAATATGTTTAGGTCCGAGAAGAGGAGTTGACTATTCTCGCTCGAGTGCATTGTATCCAACAAATAAGCAAGCGCGGCCTGTGGATGTGGAAACACATCTAAACACGCGTTCGAAGAAAGAGCCGGAATATATATGACTCCGGACCGAGATAAATCGCACAAAGAGAACAATCCGAACAGCCGGCATATCAGAGATATCCGTCGCGTAGACAGTGAAATATTCATTTTGGGAGCATCATTAAACATTAATTCCGCACTTGTCAATGCATCCTGTAATTTCAGCTTTTATTTGCGCACGATATCTCGTCTTCTCAGTTAAAATATGACTTCGAATCTCCCGAAGGCAGAGAGAGGCCCGAGTAAATTTCATTTATCTCTTTTGATTTAATGTCGCGATTGTTTCCTGTTTTGATGCGTTTCTTTATAGACGGCGTATTTTTCAAGCGAGCGAGTGTATGTTATGTTAAACGTGGATTGAAGTTGTTCAACTTTTGTGTCGTAGCCGTGTCGCGTGTAATTTATTAATAGTCGACTCTTTATTTTTGCATCGCGTTCTGTCATCGTTTGTCTATCCTCTATCTTGCGCGAATTTGCAATTAGCTATTGGAAGGAAACGTGATATCGGGTCAGATTGAAAAGCGAGCTCATCCGTTTCTGGTTCAATGTATCGTGCGCGAATGTACACGATATCGTGTCGACATAGCGTAAGAGGAAAAGGTGGAGAGAGGGGACACGTATATTTCAGCGGTGAGGTAGATCGTACAAAGAAAGTTAGGATATACGCTGCCTGGCTCCGGACCATCGCGCAGAAAGGGTCACGTTTATTCTCATGTAACGCGTCCCTACAGGTTGTCTCAGGCACAATGTACTTGCTCGTACAGAGAGGCCGGAGGATGAGTTTGGGAAGGTGTCTCGTTTCTTTCAATATGTGAAGTCATCTTCACACACCTGAGTCATCTTCGAGATTCGCACGAGCCGCACTGAGAAAAAGATATTTGAAAAGTTATTCGTGGGATATAAAGTTTGTTTCTGCTAAATTAGGTCTACTTCTACGAAATTAAGTCTATTTCTGTAAAATAAACTTTCATGCCATGCGCGCGAATAAGATTTCAAGTATTTTTTCCTCAGTGTATGAACAATCATACTTTCCGGGTATAAAAGAATTGACAATACAATCTTTACGATTTGTTTAATCTCAGAAAAATCTTCTTGCAACAAGAATTTTTAATTTGGAGTTATATCCAGAAAGAATATTATAATTTTTTTAATATGAATTTTTTTCAATTTTGGGATGTTTAAAAAAAAAATACTTGAAAATTTGTTCGTATAGAATATAAAGTTTATTTTTGTGGACAAATTTTATATCCCACAAATAAATTCTCAAGTATTTTTTCTTAAGTATTTAATTAATAAATCTCGCTAGATATATAGCAAATTTTTCTGAAAACATTACAAATTATTTTTTTAGCACATTTGAGTTTCTAAAATATCAGTAGTATACATGAAGTGAAAAGATAGTCAATTATTGTAGAATATCGATCTATGTTTCTATCACAAAATTCTATAATATTATATGCTATAAAATCCTCTTTGCATAAATATGTAGGCATTTAATGTTGAGAATTAGATAAACAACTGTAAACGATTGTTTATCTTATTCGATCGAATTTCTCTGAGAAGATGTGATCAGAACTCCGGAAAAATTTATATACGAGAGAAAATATTAGGCAATGCCTGAAACATCCTGTATATGTCGCGTTGTTATGGGAGGCAGACGTTGTCGCAAATACATGACGTATGGATACTTTTCGAGATACTTCTTTACAATGGCAAGCATCTTGACAAGAATATGAGAAGCAGCGGTTTAACGGGAGAAAAGCCAATATCCTACATTATTGAAAAACAGGACGAACGCTTGACTTATTGCAACTTTTGTAAAATTTATAAGGAAAATTTTGCAAGGCGAGTTCGCGATTACATGTTGTGGTATCAAGATGAGACAATCAAATACTGCAAATATGTATAAAAAGAAAAAAGAACAGAAAAATCTAGAAAATCCCCACATTATAACTTCAAAATACAAACAATATTGTCGAAGAGTGTAAAAAGAAACTCTAATAAATTTTTATATATCCAACATATTATTATGATTAATTTTAGTTATAGTTAATTTCTTAGTGTACGAATTTTGTCTTATAGACAAGATTCATCTACGATACACTTGATCAAGTGGCACGTGTCTCGTATTGTTCTGCGATTTCGCCGCAATTCGCAATTTATTTATATACCTGTAACTATACGTGAGCCATAGATGTCAATAGCGGATGGCTAAATCAAACGTCCGCGAGATCACGTATTTGCAGTACTTCCGTCAAACACAGCGGCGCGTACACATCAGGAAGCAGAGGGGGGCAAAGAGAGAGAGAGAGAGAGAGAAAGAGAGAGTGAGAGAGAGAGAGAATGGAACAAAAACACGCAAAGTCCCTGGACGCCGCGCGGGCTTTCGACCTGACCTCGCTTTGCCACCAATTAGCATCTCCCTTAATGACGATCGCGAGCGTGCACGCGCGCTCGTACGACGCTCACACGCCAATAGGTGCGCGCGCGTATACACACGTACGCACACACACATTCGCTCGCGTGCTCCCCACGTGACGATACACGCACACAAGCGCAAGATATGCGCGTGACCGCGGGCTGAGCGAGACAGAGATAGCGACGTGATCCATAAAAAAGCCCTTTGCCCCACCAGTCGTGGTTTCGCCCCACCGCCGTGATCTCGCCCTACCAAACGCACCTACGAGCGCGGTGCGCACCCCACACTCTCCCCACTCGCGCGCCACGTCGCCCCCCTCTACTCGCCGCTTTCGCGGAAGATCTTTATTTTTATCGTGGACCGATTAACGGCCGTGGAGAGAGCGTTCTCCACGCCTCCTTCGAGTCTGTTCGGCCAATCGCTGCGCAAACTGCCGGCCATTTTGGTCCATGCGGATGCTGCGATCGCATGTACCGTCCTTGTCTGTCTCTCATAGTTGCGCCTCACTGCGCACCGAGGAGAGGGTGCCGTTTCGTGGACGTGTGTGCGTTTGTATGGTGGGTGTGCGCGCGCGCGTGCCCACAGTCGTGTGTGTGCGGACACGCATGCTTGTTCATCGAGGCAGAGTGCTTCCATTAGAGGACGAGAGATGCTCGAGGAAGCCGCGCTCGTTGGATTCTTCATCCGCGCGCAACAAGCGCGTCATCAACATTTCCCTACGGCCCTTGAGAAGCTGGGAGTAGGCTGGTACGTGAAATTGTACTCGAGAGCGCGCGTGTCCGTTGACCGACATAGCTACTGAGAACAGAATCGGGAGGACAAAGGTCGCATGAAGGAAACTCATCGTGTTTAATCGTAGAGTAATGGCACTGGGGTACCGTATCCCCTCTTCTTTTACTTCTCATAAAGAATGAAGGGCAATCGGTATCCAAATAGCGTTTAGGTTCTGCGCTGTATCGCGATGTTATAGGTAATTACGATGACTGGTATTAAATATTTAAAACAACGACACGAAGAGATGGAGGAGGTAAATCGAGAAGGAAAGAGCACAAGTTGGAGCTCGTTGACTCTGCCCTTTTTCAGTGCCCTTCTTTTTCTCCATACGACGAGCACGTTCCTCCATTCGCTTATGAGGGTATTGCTCGCGTGTATGGGGGATACGCGTGTGTTTCACTGAGATAGAATCTAGCCGCGAAGAGGGTAAGGACGGGGATAAAGAGGGTAGGAGAGGATAGGAGAGGGAGAGGGAGGGAGGGAGGGAGAGAGAGAGAGAGAGAGAGAGAGAGAGACTGCGAAGTCCTATGTATTTCCCTCTCGTACGCGTATGTATCATCGAGGCAGAGCTTATTTATAATGATAGCAGGACTAAGACGGGGAGATAGGGGCAAAGAGAAAGAGAGAAGATACCGAACTCTCGCGGACCTCTCTGTACTTCTTCGCTTTCCACCCCTCGCCTCCTTCACTGTCTACCCACCAACCCACCTACTCGTTCGCGCTCGCGGCGTATCCTGGTGAACGACGATGGTGGTGGGGTGCTTTCCAGGGGAGGTGGTAACAGGGAGTGCATCGAAGGCAGGACGATCCAGGAGCTTCCTGTGTGCGGGTACTCGCGCGAACACACCCCCTCCGAAAGCCCTCGTGAGTACGCGTTCCGGTAGCGAGTTCCGTCCGTCGGTGTGTATGCGAATAGCATTCCCCCCCCCCAGCCTCATCGACCGACACGAACACATGTACGGGCGTAACCCTCGTCCTCCGCGTATCGCGCTTCGAAGGGAGCGAGATAGAAGAGCTCGTTGGTAGCGGGAACGCATCGAGGGCAGGACGAATCCAAGACCACGCGTGCTCTCTCACACTATTGTCCGCGAATCGCGTATACATGTGTGTTGCCAGAAGCGAGACGAATCTTGTCAATGTGCCGTAGCCCCCTGTTCTCTCACTCTTGGAGCCATACACACACGCAATATCACGAGCAGTCTGTTGCCCAACACTACCGCATCTTCGAGGGGTCTCGCTCTCTCGCGGGATCCCCCGCTCGTCGATCCTGCGGTACCCACCTCTCTCTCTCTCTCTCTCTCTCTCTCTCTCTCTCTCTCTCTCT